TTTTTATTTTTTTAATGCAGGTTATCGCATAACCGATTTCTATAATTCTTTTCAAGGAAAGGTGGTAGGTACCTCATAGGTGGTGACATACTAACTTTATTTAGATGCGGTCATTGGTACTCTTAAATTTTTATATGAGAAATTTACTGGTTTTATTATTTTTACTACGTGCAAAATACTTTTGTGCGGCATATACAATAATTTCGCCCACAAGAAAAAATGCATTGTAACATACGATAAAATGTACAATAAATTTTTGGCATAACAATAGCGAGCTCTAACCGCCAAAATAAAGTAAGCGACATTTTTTTCGAAATTTTCTGCATTTCTGCTTAAAAAAAAATAAATAACAATAATTTTGAAAAAAAATGTCGCTTACGTTATTTTGGCGGTTAGGGCTCAATATTTTACCAGGTGATGTGTTGTGGGGGAAAGAACAAATTCACATCACAAACTCGCTTTGGAAAAAATGGTACACACGCAGCGGGCTCGATAAAATGCAAAATAAGTGATTTCAATATTTTTTAGTATAACATTTTTCTCGAAAAATTTTTGAAAGTTCTGGTCAGTAGATACCTATATAAAAAATATTATGTCAGACAATATTTCATTCCTATAAAAAAATTCAAAAAAGGAAAAAATAAAAATAACAAAACCAGCTAACAATGAAAATAGAATGATTAATAAACAAATTGTGAATGGGCACATATAAATGTGTAATAACCCTGCAAAAAATGGGACTAATCCGGGATGAATCCGGGAGCAATCGCTAAAGAGCATGCGACTAATACCACTTTTGATCTCTTTGCATGGAATGAACTGTTCGCTTTTGTTCGAGCATGTCCTATGAAGAGACTAATTGTTCACCTTTATACCTGAACAGGTATAAAAAGCGATTAGTCACTTTTGAAAAATAAAAATAAAAATTTGCGGCAGCTGAGATTCGAACCGGGGTACTCAGTTTTGTCAGGCGAATACTCTATCTGTGTGCCAACGCCGCACATGAAATTTCATTGACGAAGTGCGTACATATCATTAAATCGTTAATAGTACCCGTTAGAGATGAGTTGGGGACTAATTGATCTCCAATTATACCCATAAGGGATGAGTCGAGACTAATTGATCTCCAATAGTACCCGTATGAGACTAGTTGGGACTAATTAATACCCGATTGAAAGTAATCTCGGAATACTCTCTTTAGAGATTAGTCGCACAAATTTTTGCAGGGAATGTTTTGTATGAAAGAGTAGCAGAAAATTTTGTTACTCATACGCCATGTTGCACATGGCCGTACTAGCATACATATGGCGTGCAAGTAATGGTTTTCATGTTGAAGCTTAGAATCCAGCTCACAAGAAAAATCGCAAGAAATATTTTCCATTATTTCTGTTGCTTGAAAAAGCACTTTGCTTTTGCTGTAAATTTTCTTGAAGAAATAAATATACGAACCTTTTTTAGATGAGAGCTGCAAACTGATTTAAACAATTTTAATACACGAAAATGTTTTGTCCATTTCTTGTGCGTCATTTTATATGATTTTTTCGTTTTTCTTGAGAGCTGGAAATATCGCTTAAAATTTGAATTCTTTTCATTGGAAATGTTAACCTAAAATCGAAATATCTTGGAAAAATTCTACGACCCAAAATTAAGTTTACTTCTCTCGGCATTTTTGTGTATCATTTCAACGTCTCTACAGTGTAATTTTAAAGTTAATGTTTTTTTTCGAAGCAATTTAATCCTTAAACAAGTAAGGGCGCACCCAATATGGCGGACAAAAAAAATCAAAACCAATTAGATTCGCTTAAAAATTTACAATTATGGGGTTTTGGGGTTGCTGATTATGAATCTGAAATCAGGTTTTAAAAATTCAAAGTGGAAGATTCATATTTGACCTACCATTTATCACGGAAAAGTTAAAAACAGTCGAGATGAGAATGTTACTCATACGCCATGTACTGTATGGATCTATGTCTCTCATCCAAGACTTGAAATAATTGCACCCCCAGAGCCAGGGCCATTTTCATTGTTGCACAGTGTAATTGATACCAAATGGATTCCATATACCTTCGTTTGGGTTTTTGTGCATGTAGCCGAAAAATAACGGCATTTTTTTGGAAATTCTCTAAAGAGTTAATCATGAAAACATCAAATTGTTCACCGTATCAGCTAACTTGTGCCTGCGACCATAAAAAAGTATTACAAAGTCTAAACGGCACCACTAAGAGGCCAGAGGGTTGGACTAATTTATATTATCAAATATATACACGTTTTCTGCATTTGGTAGCGACCGTACAGTACGTCGTTCCATCTTCTTCTGGTTTTGCGTAGAACTTTCATTTCAGGTACATCCAAAGTCTTCAAAATTTCATGCGACATCGTCCAAGCTTCTGCGCCGTATTTATGAAAAAAAGGTCTGTTTTATGATTGCTCCTAAACTGAGGCTTGCGAAATAAGAAACGTTGTCGGAAACTATGCTGATAGTAGAAGTATCGATTTCCCACACAAATGAGTAAACGGATGCTCGAGCTACCCATGATCCTCAAGGTGCAGAAGTCGTGGCCCAAAATACAGGTTTCCAAGTGTCCAGGATTATGTGAGGAGCTTAGTTTCTGATATCCCTCAAGAGGGAAGACTCTGGCTATTGATTGGTTCTCTAACGACGCATTACCTGCTGGTATCGCATGCCTTTGAACTGACTCTGACTAATCATCAAATCTGTAGGAGGTGCAGAACGAGCCCACAAAAGCAGCAGTCCGTCTCTGCAGAAAGCCTTATTTTATTGAAATGGTAGCTCAGCTTGCAGTGTTCTCTCAGGTAGCCTGCAAGAGTGTTAAGACCTTACCGGCTAAATTCAAGCAATCTTTCGAAGTTCCTACTAGTTTGAGTTATGAATTTCTTTGCTTGCCTTCTTCCCTTTACTTCCGCCAGCGGGCAACAATCTGAGAATCTTCGAAGATCCTAAGTAGTTCTACTCGGCATCATGCAAGCGCATTTAGGCTCCAAGTTTTTTGAGACTGTCAGCCCATTCGTATCCTTCAAACTCTTCATGTCCACGATCCCACCACAGTCTCACTCTATTTTGGGCTCCTGCTGTTGGCTACAACTGTCTACAAGCCTTGGTATGACTTCTAAATGCGTCTAGGACTTTTGGTGATGCCTGCCAGTACATTTAAATTGACCCCATTTGTTCTTCCAAAGACACAGATTTTGATTGAAAAGACTTTCGCCTGAAGTATGGTTGAGTAAAAGCCCTCTGGTAAACTTTTTTGGAATCTTGGTTCTAGTAGTCTATCCCAGAACTCCCGCCATAAATCTTCGATCCGTCGATATATCATACTTGAGACCCTTTGTCTATCATAGATATTATCGCTGCACAGTAGGGCTGTGCGATTAATTGATTACTCAAAATTTTAATTAATCATAAAGTAAATAACTCAATTATTCGATTAATTGGAAATTATAATTACTCAAAAGTTCAGTTACTCGAGTAATCAAGATTTTTGATTAACCAAAAACCAAAATATTTGAGTAATTTGCTTTATGATTAATCAACATTTCGAGTAAAATGAGTAATCAACATTTCAACTCTTTACATATAAAGTAGTTGAAGTTCCTTGATGCTCTGAAAACATCGTTTCTGTTTTCAAAAATTGAAACGAAAAATTATTTTCATATACAGAATGTAAAAAAGAAAAAAAGCATTTTCCAAAGCAAACTCTTTTAACGAGCAAAATTATTATTTTTTGAGTAATCATATTTCAATTAACTCGACTAATCATCGTTTTGAGTAATCAAAATCTTGATTACTCGAGTAATTGATTAACCTTATAATTGATTAACCAACTTGCTCGAGTAATCGAATAATCGCCCAGCCCTACTGCACAGCATTCCATCTCAGGAATTCTGACATTGTAGGACTATCTGTGAGCATGATAGTGGGATCATCCTTGGATGGCTTTAGAGCATTTAAGTCCCACTTTTCATACTGATTACATGATGCTACATTGGGCAGCCGTAGGGCGCACCAGCAGGCCTCCTTTTCAAGCAGAATTCACAGTGAAGGAATGCCTCTAAACACACCAAGGACATTCGTTGTCGAGGTGTGCATAGTCATGGCCACGTAGACCAAGCGGTTTAGCTTGCTCAAGGTGGCATACGCGCTTACTTGCTTAGCTTTAGGGCACCTAGCTCAGTTCCACATGTGTGACAACGCGTTGACCTAATCTAATCTGACCAGTGATTATTCAGCAGAGTTATGTATTTTTTCTAATAAGACAAAAGTCATTCAACAACATCACAAACCAGCTGACGGTCCGTACATGACTAATTAGTAACGCAAGCATCGACCCAATAAAAAAAAAGACACATACCGCACTACTTCAAATAAAATGAAAGAAGCAAACGAAAGAAGTGAACAATCAAAAATATGCAAAAATAGAGCACGCAAGCCAGTAAAATTGCCAAACGACCAAGCGTCTATATTGCCAAATGTCATGCAAAGTTGGGTGGGGTGAGGTAAAAGTTGTACGAGAAAGCAAAAAGTAAGTAAAGCAGTGCCAAGCTGCCCAAAAAAAAAATTGAATGACATGGCTGTGTAGACAGAGGTAAGCGCCGCAGAGAGTAAACGAAACTGCCAAAAGCATGACAAGCAACGAAATGCTAGGAATTCAAGAACGAAAAAAAATCAGCAAATACAGAAGGAATGCTGCTATCGATTTTTATTTTCCGTTGTACTCCGAGTTAGCAGCAAAGTGCGCGCGCATGCTTAGTGATTTTGTGCAAAAATTTCTTTTGAGTTTCGAAGGAGCTTTCGCCCAGCAGTTTCTCAGCTATGTATGCTCTCTGCCATTTAGCATACATGCCTCCACACATCCGCTCTCCAAAAATCTCAACGCTATTAGAGTTTTAAGAGGATTGTATGTATGGTGCTAGGCGTATAGGCAGATAAGCACTTTTAGGCTGCCATTTGGCCAGTTTGCAATACACACAACATACTCATATTGCCCGTGGTCGGAGCGGTGCAAAGAACGAAAACGAAAATCTTGAAACGGTTGAAGAAGTTGTGAAAACGATTTCTAATTGATAGAAAAAAAAGGAGAAAGCGAACTCAAATTTAATAAAAAACAGGAGCTGATTTTGAATTAAATCAATAAAAAGTGCAAGAAAATGTGGCCAGTTGTGTTTAAGGCAGGCAGCGAAGGCGTGCAATAATGTGCCAGCAGGACATACTTCAGTGCAGCTGAACTAAGAGTAGCAAAAAAAAAACCAGGCAAATTTAGTGGCACAGTGGCAGTTAACCTACAGCGAATTGGCCTGTATTACATTGCGTGGACCAATTTGTGTGCATAAATGGGTGTGTGAGCGTTTTTTGCGTATGCGAATGCGGCTGCTGGAGGCCCCCCGCCCCCCCTATTCGCTGTGACCGAGTGACCGAAAAATTGCCTGCGTAAGTTGGCTACAGCGCCTTAATTAAAATTTATGACTGTCAATGAAAACGAAAAATTAGCGCAACACGCAAGCAAACACAGGCGAAAAGCCAACGCTGCCCAACTGCTAGGAAAAATCAATATTGCAAACATTTTTCGTGACCATCAAAAAACTCGGCTAGGATGTTTGTTTAAAATGCGCTGAAGTGAGGGTGAAAGTATGAAAATAAACTAAAAGTAAAATACAAAAAAAAAAAATACAACAACAAAAAAGTCAGTTATATAAATCACTTAAAAAACACCTTAATGTATAGTGGCGGTGTTATTTAGGCTTAGCCAGCATTTTTTAATCCAACGTCGACTATCGGAATTAATCGCACGAGTTTTTTTAGTGTTTGTGCGCTTAGCTGTGTGTGACTGACATATGCTACAATCGATAGCGAGACGACAGCTAACTAAAACACATTGTAGCTGTCAACGTGCTAAAAGGCAATACATATACACACATACATAGAGACAAACTGGCTGTCGATTTGTACACCCACGCCTAGGTGGCTGGCGAATGTGTTTGGCGAAGGAATTTGACGGTGGCCAGAGAATTGTAGAAATTTTTAGCGCACAAAGCGTTGCTTGCATCCAACATTAAGTGCGAATAAAAAGTGGAATAAAAAACGCTAAATCAGAAATCAAAACTAAGTCACTTAACTTAGCAGAATTTTGAAAAACTTCGCCAACAAACTACAATCAAGCAGAACGGCAAAGGCAACGTCAGCCAAAAACTCGCTTGCTCACCTAAAAACTGCTCATACTAACTGCCAAGCGTGAATCGCGCTTCGTCTCACTCACTAGCAACAGCCCACCACCACCACAATGGGTAAGAAAAAGGTGCCTAGCGAGGACCTTATCGTCCCACCGCAGGATCAGCGCATTTGTGGCACCATTTGTGTGTGTCAAATGACGCTTGTGCTCAGTTCGGTGGCGCTAGTCTATCTAACTGTCGCCATTTATATGCCATCGACTCGCGCCTTCAAGAGCGGCATCGATCCAACGCCCGTCATGTGCACCACCACACGCGCCGTCAACAAGGACAATTGCGAATGGGGTTCGTGCGGTGAATGGTGTCTGAGCAAGACCTCCGGCGCCTGCATACAAATCTATGTAAATTTGCGCAGCAACGGCACCAATCTCACATTCCAGAATTGTACAAATTCGGCGAATAAGACGTGCTATGGCATCGATCAGGACCGCGCCGATAAGGCGCGTTGCATTAATGATGAGTGTAAAAATTTGACGGGCACATTCAATTGTACCGAAGGTCAATGCCTAAATATAACCGATGCATTTGAGTGTGTTTTCAAGAATAGCGATTCGCCGGTTAAGTGTTCGGGTCGACGGGGGAAAATCAATTGTATGGATATAAACGGTTTGTATTCGTGTAATCGTGGTACGTGTCGTAAGATACGCACCCCCTACAATTGTGATCGTCGCTGTGTCGATATACCGACACGCAATAAGAATGTTGTAGTGTTAAGCGGTGATAAAGTGTATTTGTCGCAGTGTCAGAATGCCATCAATGCCGAAACGAAAGAGGAGGTGTGGAACGAATCGGCCGATAATGTTGTGATGGCATCGTGTTATTTCATTAAGAATACATCGGATCGCGTTGAGGCCGTGGATTGCATTAATGGTTCGACGCTTGAGCACAATATGCTCACCGATTTGACGAATTTCACTTATTTGAGTCATTTGCACATATCGGTCTCGGTGCCGACACCCGAAATAGCGCCACCCGATTTCGATTTGACCATTTCGAATGAATCGAAATTGATGATAAATCTGGAGGGTTGTGTGAATACGCTGATGGATGAGTGCAAGGAATTCTTGAAGGATTTCGGCCGTGATGGCAGCGATCATAATGCACGCGCGCGTTTTCCTTGCTTTTATTCGCCCTCGAAGAAGGAGATTGTTGTGGCACGTTTCGATTTGGAGGTTACCTATCGTCAGTTTGTGATTGCCTCGGTGGTGCCATCGGTGTTGTTTGTCGTTTCGTGTCTGGTGCTGCTGCTCTGCCAGAAGACTGTCTATGTGGGTGATGATGCGAAAATGCGGTTCAAAGGTTGTGTGGATACGGATACGATATTGGCGAAAAATAATATAGGTTCACAAAATAATTTGGGCGATACTGGTGGAGGGGGAGGCGACGATGTAATGGCACTATGAGATCCGTCACGTAAGCATGGGGAATTTTATTTTCATTATATTTACTAATATTATTATGGAAAACAAAGGAACGAACGAAAAAATCACCAGTTTATTGTGTACATCTTTTGGTTTGACTTTGGCCAGCTTTTTCACATACATGCATATGTAAATTGTAATGCTTATTCTACACTTCCAGCATACTTTCAGCTGTATCAACGCGGATTGAAACCACCTGAAAGCTCAAATATTTATCCACCTTTTTGAGCATTTGTGCTGTTGTTATTGTGTCTGTAATGTCGTCGCTTATGGTGTAGGTTTCAAAACATTTTGTGAATAAATGCATTTCGATAATTGTAGTGAGAGAAGAGAGTTCATAAATATATCCGTATGTACTAAGTAGATGCAGTCCGTTTTTTGGCGTTAGCTTTGTTCGGAGGCTTAGAGCTTTCACTGAGTAGAAACGCATTTGTTAAGCGTGAATTTTGTAAGAAAAATTTTATAGCTTTTCAATATATAATCATGTATGTACGTAGACTTCGTAAAAAAGCCTTATGACGGATTTCCACAACCCAGTAAATGTCAAGGTTTAATAAAAAATTTGGGCATTAAAACAAAGTATTGTCTATTACCTATTGTTTGCCTAGGGGACATTCGGTGTTATATAGATTCCCTTAAAAAGTCGAATTCCAAAATTTCTTTAGGTGTTGTGGTAAAAAAAAAATTGTATGGCAAAGTTGTGCATATACTCTACCCGAAAAAAGTACTGGCATAATAATAAAAAAAGTATTGGTACTAATAATTTTTTGTCCGATAATTTTTTACGAAAATGTGGTGGATTCATACTACAACAAGAAATATAAAAATATAATGTTTAAACTTTATGCAAAACTCGGGAAAATTCTATAAATTTTCATCTTTTCAATCCAATTTTTTGGTACTTTTTTAATTTTTTGAGTATGCAGTTTTGTAGCCCATCAAATTTTAGTATAGAAAATTGAGGTTTAAATTATACAAAAAGCATTTTCGAAAATGTTGTTGTTAAGCTTGCAGTTTATCATAATAAAATATATTGTGCTACAAAACTACATACTTAAAAAATCTGTTTAAGAAGTTGAAAATTTTCATATAAATTTGTTGAATTTTCCTGAGATTTGCACAAAGTTTAGAAACTATATATTTTTTTAGTTGTGGTGTTCACATATTTTTATAAAAAATTTACGCAAAAAAAATGTAATTAAAATTGTTGCATATATTGTAAAAAATTATCTGTGCCAATACTTTTTCGGCCAGTGTACATATTTGCGTTGTTAATTGTTTTAAGTCTGTTCGTAAATGATATTTTTTAAAAGGCATATCCTTTTTGTCATTTCCACGCCTAGTGAAAACTCGGCATAAGAAAAATGTAGGCGGATTTGCGCATGAAAATCAATGGCAAAAACTTTAATTGAAAATTTGCATTAAATAATATTCGTGTCTTCCCTTTTTGCCTGATGTAAACTCGGCATTATACAGAGAACTTAACGGCCAATTTCCTCTAGACATTGAAATGACAAAAAATCTAATTACTAAACTGAGCGTTAAATATAAAAGCTCTTAACATTTTTTAGATGACACACATTTTTCGACTTTTCAGCGTGCAGTGCAATTTCAGCATTAAAGCTTTCGCTATGTAAAAAATAAACTTATACAGTATTTCCACAAAGCAATGAGGTAATAAAAATTTGATTTACAATGGTTGCGGATAAAAAACTTTTCTTATTAGAAAATTAAAGAATTGTTTTGCCATTTCGAAAATCTCAACGGATTTTCTGGGTTCTGGGTAAAGTTTTTGGGATAATGTAAATTTACCATAAAAATATGAAAAACTTAGTTAATACCGTTTATTACTTCTTGTATTTCAAAATACGTATTCCTCATAGTTTGGATTTGAAATCTTTAGGATAGTTTGAAATTGACCATGAAAAGAGGAAGTAGTTGCCGTGAATAACTCGGTTTTTTATATTTCTGTCGATATTATCTTAAAAAAAACTATACTTTATTCAGGGAATAGTTAGTGGAAATTCGGTATTAGTGTAGTAATGTTTCTGATATATACACATTCATACATGGTACATTAAATTGTGTAAACAAATAGCTTCGTGAGTCTAATTTGAGCATTCTGAAGTTCGGAAATTTAATTCAGTAATGTGGTTACTTTTCATCATTTAAGATAAACCTGTAGGTTATAGTCATCACTAATGCAAAAGGAGCTGCTCGACAGATAAATTAAAAAAAATCAAGTCTTAAAAATGCTAGCTTTATTGACACTTTAGATCGGATCTATAATCATTTCCTATGCAAATTTAAGCAGTTTTTTTGCTTCCCTAAAATTTCAAATCTATTCAACAGCTCCTTTTACATTTTACATTTTAAACGCTCAGTTACAATTTTATAACCTATTTCCTCCTAAAACCAGATATATACATTTTTATACATTTATATATAAATGTGGTATATTTTCTTAATTAATTGCGCTTTTAGACCCCTAAATTTGCTAACATATCGAGCCCTAACCGCCAAAAGGATGTAAGAGACATTTTTTTCAAATTTTTTTTATGCAGAAATGTTCGAAAAGCATCTAGATCGGCGATGGGAAGCGAGCTTTTACTCAGTACAGCCTACATAAAATGTATAGAAAGCTTAAAAAGAGTTTGCCCGCGGGCAAGACGGTGCCCATCACTGATCTAGATGCATTTCTATATCAAAAATAGAATGTTGAAAAGACGTCGCTTATATCTTTTTAGCGGTTAGGGCTCGATATTATTTAAACTTTGAACTGTTCCAAGTATGTATATAAACTTGGAGCTTTCACAATACAGCATAAAGTTTAGTATACAAGTTTTGTCCGTCACTTTCATAAGCGAAGTATGCAAACATATATACATGCATACATTCATATAATTAAAGACATTCTTTGAGTTACCCAATTTTGAGAGTATGAGATTCTTTTTCAATCTTTTGTTGTGTCTAGGAGATTTTGGAGGGTTCAAGGTAGTTAAAGAAATCTCTTTGTATCAACATTACTTTAGAAAAAAATATAAGCTTCATATCAAAGTTGAGAGCTTTTACCAAATGCATATAAACTTTATAGGAAATGCTAGGGCATTCGGAAGAAGAGAACTTACAGCGAAATTTCAGCAAAAAAAAGTTTTTTGTAAGACAATTGAAAGGCAGTAGGCAAGATAGTTCGAAAGAATTTGTTTATACCGACACGAAATTCTTACAAAACAGATCTCGCTTGCCAACTTTTATGGTGAAAGCCTATTTTAACAGAAAGACAAATGATTAGGTATGTTCACATATAATTTTCTCGAGAGATCCGAGGTTCGAGTCCTCGGGCAGCGAATTTTTTTCCTTTTTTTGTAGTTAAATTTGTAATATTTATTGTTAATTTTTTTTTATTTAATTTTCGTTAAATTTTTAGGTTTTATTGTTTTGAAAAGAAAAATATTTTTTTTAATATTTTTATTGAGCTTTGTACCACAATCGTTTATTAGGAAAAATTTTAAAAGCAACAAAGTCTAAGCGGTAGAAGTCATAGCAGCTATTTCGGAGATCACCACATCTCCTCATCAGACAAAAAAAAAATTAAGTAATAAAAAAAATAAAATGTTAATAAGCCACAATAACATTAAAAAATAATTAAATTTTTTTCTTATTTTTAAATTTATTAATTTAGAGAAAAATTCAGGATTTTATTTTATTTAAAAAAAAAAATATATATTTTTTGAATTTCATTTAACTTTCGGAAACTTACTTTTTTCATTTTTTAATTACATTACATTTTTTATTTTTTTTTTTATTTAATTCTGGTAAATTTTTTAGATTATACCGGTTATTTAAAATGAAAAATATATATTTTTTTTCATTTACTTTTTGACGATATTTTTTATCAATTAGTCAATAAGAAAATTTAAAAATATCTTTACACCTGACACCCTAGCAGAATCTTTCTTTCACAAATGACTATTGCAAATACCGTAAATAAACGAGTTCTGTATTTTAATAAAGTTTGCACTAAAATAAAGTAAATTCTCTGAAAAAAAGATACAGATTTTCTAAAATTGTTGAATAGGAGGGTTCTTGTCTTTTTATCTACACACATGCATACATTCAAAGCGTTAGATATTTACTTTCTACAACTCTTGCATACATACATACATACTATGTACATACATATATGCAGAAATGCCGTAGACCTATTTCGATAAAATTACTGAGATGTCATAAGGTGGCCCTTATTTTTTTCTACGTGCAAAATGAAGATATCCACGAAAACTTTAAAATCTTAAATACATTTAAAATTAAAAATTATTATTATTTTTTAAATCGCGTAGATTCGAAAAAAAATTGCTTTAAATTGGATAAGATTGACATATTATTAAATCTTATTTAAATAAATTCATAATATCCCTAAATTATAGCTGGTAAAGTCAAAATTTTTTCGAAAATAAATATTTTTTAACTCCAGCAGCGGCCACTAATTTATTTTATTTTTTTTAATTTTCGTGGATGGCTTTATTTTATACGTAGAAAGAAATAAAGGTGTATCCCATGATGTGGATATTTTTAAGGATCACCCTAATATGTGCATATGTATTTCAAAAACAATATAACAGTTATGTAGGTTTTTTTGCCACTTTATATCAATAGAGCATTTAGTTTTGATTTAAATTGTTTAAACTTAAAAAATTTATATCCTAGAATTATCAGTATATATGTATCTTAATTTCAAATAATTTTTAAACAGAATTCTACAGCATTTATAAATATATTATTTGAATTTCTAGGCATTCCTCTGCTCCAAGAAGACAGTCCAGTACATCAGGCCGGAGTGTTTGCTATGCAATAGAGCGTGCAAACAGGTTAACTGTAACAACAACAACAACAACATTCTTATACCATACTCACTTCACTAACTCAATTCAAAAAGAAACCAAGAAAAAAAATATAAAAAAGTATTTTATTCAGCCCACTAAAAAAAATAAATAAATTACACTACCCGCAAATTGCGCTTGCCTGCAAAAAAGGACATCTTTTGCTAGAAAAAAAAATAACGAAAAATCTAAAAAAAAAAATCGACAAACAGCAATCAAGTGTTGCTGTAAGCAGATTTCAAAAAAACGCTCGAAAGCAAGTAACCTTTAATTAAAATAAATATTTATTCGCACTCCTTAGCTGAGAAAAAGCCGAATAGAGCAGCAGTTCGGCCAACACGAAAATCTTTTTCAAATTATTCATTCAGACAATATTAGATTTACGCATGTAATTTAAACGATTTTTATTAACAACTTAAGTCATTGTTTGTGAACCAAGAAAAAAATACTTGCTTTAAGTTTTTGAAATTTCAAAAGAGAAAAACAAACTGTGTATTCACGCCAATTTTAAGGCAAGACAAAGTTTTTATACATTTTAAGGCTAAAACTTATTGTAAATTTGTTAAAACACAAAACCTCTATCCAAGCGCTTATTGCACTAATTTCGTACAAACGGGCACTCAGACACACACACACCCAAAAATATTTCAAGAGTAATTCACCTAAAGTCACAAATACATACACACACAGACATATATAAGCACACAAACTCACTTGTTATGGAAAGTCAAACGGTTTGGAGGGATGCGTGATCAACAAAATATTCAAGAAAATTTTGGTACAAAAAAAAATTTAAAAAATTTTAAATTAAATGAAGAGAAACTAAAAACCAACTCGTAAACGAACACTAAATGTAGCAAAGGAAACTAGCACAGCAAACAGACTAGGACAACAACAACAGAAAATAGATGACCAAAATTATGTAGCACACAAAAAAAAAATATTAGTTAAAATAGCATACAGATAGATAAATATGGAAAGTATTTAGCGAAAAACAGAAGAAGAAAAATATTTAAGAAAAAAAAAACTTACTGAATTATTAAAAAGATAAAGGAAAGGGGAAAAAAATAAAATAGTATTAAAATCAAAAAATCACTGATGTAATAAAAAACAAACCACAGGCTTATAAACCAATCGAAAATTTACATACACATATAACAAACCACACCAAAACAAACTGAAAATACATACAAATACAAAGACCGTTAGCTTTAACGCTNTATTAGTTAAAATAGCATACAGATAGATAAATATGGAAAGTATTTAGCGAAAAACAGAAGATGAAAAATATTTAAGAAAAAAACTTACTGAATTATTAAAAAGATATAGGAAAGGAAAAAAAAAGTAACATAGTATTAAAATCAAAAAATCACTGATGTAATAAAAAACAAACCACAGGCTTATAAACAAATCGAAAATTTACATACACATATAACAAACCACACTAAAACAAACTGAAAATACATACAAATACAAAGACCGTTAGCTTTAACGCTCGAACAATCGAATAGAGTATTCCAATACAAACACAATCGAACAATAAGAGTAGTGAAAGCACGAAACGTCTGGGCTCTCGAGCAAGCCAACGATTACGAGTAATACCAGCAGCAGCAGCAGCAGCGGCAGCGAACGGGCCCCAAATTGGCAACATGAAGAAAAGCTCAACAGCTACGACGACAATGTCATTCCCAACCAGTCCGACCATTTCGGCGCATACTATCACCGGCAGTAAAATTAGTTTGGGCAGCACAAAGACGGCGACTTCGGGTCGTTCTAGTCGCACGGGTTTGCAATCGCCACAGCGAAAGAAGAGCGATCTAGAATTGGAGTCTATATTGGAGAAGGCAAAATTTTACACATCGCTGTGCCTTGGTGAGTGTAGTGTGTTAATAAAGCTTTTTGATTTATGGAAATATGCAGTGGCGGGAAAATAAATAGGGGCGCGATATTTTAACAAATTTTGGCAATTTTTATTTTGCTAATTTAATGTTTATTATGTCTAACAAAACCTATTTACATAAGTCCGAATTTCAAATTTTGTACAAAAACTAGAAAAATACGACAAAGTTTCATCGAAAATATTTTAAATTTTTTTTGCAGAATTTTTAGAAAAAATTTTGGCATGCAGTTTTGTAGCTCATAAAATAAAAAAACAAGTTTGAAGCAGCTAGCATTTAGCGTTTTTTTTTTGNAGCGGCAGCGAACGGGCCCCAAATTGGCAACATGAAGAAAAGCTCAACAGCTACGACGACAATGTCGTTCCCAACCAGTCCGACCATTTCGGCGCATACCATCACCGGCAGTAAAATTAGTTTGGGCAGCACAAAGACAGCGACTTCGGGTCGTTCTAGTCGCACGGGTTTGCAATCGCCACAGCGAAAGAAAAGCGATCTAGAATTGGAGTCTATATTGGAGAAGGCTAAATTTTACACATCGCTGTGCCTTGGTGAGTGTAGTGTGTAAATGAAGCTTTTTGATTTAAATATGCAGTGGCGGGGGAAAAAATACAGGCGCGATATTTTAACAAATTTCGTCTATTTTTATTTTGCTAATTCAATGTTTATTATGTCTACCAAAAGAAAATTCGACAAAGTTTCATCGAAAATATTTCAAACTTTTTTGGCAGAATTTTTAGAAAAAATGTTGGTATGCAGTTTTGTAGCCCATAAAATAAAAAAACCAAGTTTGAAGCCGCTAGCATTTACCGTTGATTTTTAGCAGTTTTTTTTTTTATTGAATAGAGACAGAAGAAAATGTATGTTCGACAATATTTTTATATGTATGGAGAAAAATGCACAACACTGTCAGCATAAAAAATTGCCAAAATGCAACGGTAATTCCTAGCTACTTCAAACTTGCACTTTATTATAATAAAATTTATCCCGCTACAAAACTGCATGCCTAGAATTCTTTAAATTCTAAATAAAAGGTTTGAAATTTTTATCAACATTCGTCGAATTTTTATAAATCTTGAACAAATTTTGGGAACGTTTGAAAGTTTGACTTACATGGTTTTTTTAGATAAAGAGCTATATTTTTATAAAAAAAAAATATAAAGTTCAAATAAACAAAAATTAAATTAAATTAAAAAAAAATTATCTNTTTCATATGTATGGAGAAAATTGCACAACACTGTCAGCATAAAAAATTGCCAAAATGCAACGGTAATTCCTAGCTACTTCAAACTTGCACTTTATTATACTAAAATTTATCCCGCTACAAAACTGCATGCCTAGAATTCTTTAAATTCCACATAAAAGGTTTGAAATTTTTATCAACATTCGTCGAATTTTTATAAATCTTGAACAAATTTTGGAAACGTTTCCAAGTTTGACTTACATGGTTTTTTTAGATGAAGAGCTATATTTTTATAAAAAAAAAAACTATAAAGTTCAAATAAACAAAAATTAAATTAAATTAAAAAAAAATTATCTTGTTAAAACTATAAAGTCGAAAAATTTAAAGAAACAAAAATAAAAAAAATTATTCAAAAAGTAAAATTTTTCTAAAAATTAAATGAAATAAAAAAAATTCTTTTTAAAGCAACACAATCTAAAAATTAAGAGAAAATTTAATTAAAATAATTAAATATAAAAAAAAATATATAAAATATTTTCTAAAAATTAAATGAAATGACAAAAAAAATTTTAACAATAAATCTAAAAACTAAATTAAAAAAGTAAACAAAAACAGTCAAAATTTGTTAAAATATCGCGTCCCTATTTATTTTCGCGCCGTGTGTATCAAATTTTATTTTTTTATTTTTTATTTCTAGGAACCACTGCAATTCTCTCGGTCTTTGCCNTAATCAAAAAGTAAAATTTTTCTAAAAATTAAATGAAATAAAAAAAAATTCTTTTTAAAGCAACACAATCTAAAAATTAAGAGAAAATTTAATTAAAATAATTAAATATAAGAGAAAAAATATATAAAATATTTTTCTAAAAATTAAATGAAATGACAAAAAAAAAATTTTTAACAATAAATCTAAAAACTAAATTAAAAAAGTAAACAAAAACAGTCAAAACTTGTTAAAATATCACATCCCTATTTATTTTCGCGCCGTGTGTATCAAATTTAATTTTTTATTTTTTATTTCTAGGAACCACTGCAATTCTCTCGGTCTTTGCCTTCCTCTTCCTCATACCATTCGTTGTGGATCCGGCAATTTCGACAATAATCGCAGATTATGATCCTGTGCCAGTCACTTGTATTGTCATTGATCATATCTATGCGGAAGGCATTCGAAATTGTTCGTGGAGTTCATGCCGTGAAGGCTGTACGTCATCACTCACCAAGTAAGTTTTCAAGGGAGAAAAAGTGGGAACTAAAAAACCTAAGCGAGATTTGGTAGAAAACTATTAAAATGCAGTCGAAAGTCAAATTCGAATTAAAATACTGAACATTTTATGTAAATTTAAGAGAGATACAATTCGTATTTTAACCATTTTTAAAAACTAAAAGAGTTGAGCACATAAAAGTATTTAGTCGCGAAATCTATTTGGTTAGATCATATATGTATTACAATTTTAATTCACTGTTAGATCTGACAGAAGGGGAAAAAATCATTTTTCACTTAAATTGCTGTTGAAACCGGCAGCAGGTCCCATTCAATTACCTCTCATATTGTGATGTTTCATATGCTTAACTTTGGCACTCAAAGTTATTGTCACTTTTTAGATAGATGGCAACCCCATTCCAAAATTTGCTGAAAGCTTTTTCAATTTTCCCATTTAAATGTAGAAATTTAAGTATGGTATTAGGCCCTTCAATAATTTCAAACTTTCTATTAGGTGGCAACCCTACCATTTTCAATAAGTGTTATAACCTATATCTTATTCCAAAGAATGAGCATTAATGCTGTGAAGTTTCGTCAAAATCCGAACAGTAGTTTTTGCCTGAAAGCTTTACAAACATCCACACAAACTTTCACATTTATAATATTAGTTGAACTTATTTACTCATTGTATTTCATTTGCCTTTCAGGTGCCATCAGTTGTATGTGAACTATACACGCNGGATTATGATCCTGTGCCAGTTACTTGTATTGTCATTGATCATATCTATGCGGAAGGCATTCGAAATTGTTCGTGGAGTTCATGCCGCGAAGGCTGTACGTCATCACTCACCAAGTAAGTTTTCAAGGAAGAAAAAGTGGAAACTAGAAACCTAAGCGAGAATTAAAATAGTGAACAATTTTTGGTACATTTAAGAGGGATACAAATCGTATTTTAACCTTTTTTAAAATCTAAATGAGTTGAGCACATAAAAGTGTTTAGTCGCGAAATCTATTTGGTTAGATGATATATGTATTACAATTTTAATTTACTATTAAAACTGACAGAAGAGTAAAAATATTTTTTCATTTAAATTTAATTAAATTACCTTTCGTTTTTTTCGTTTTTTTTTTTGAATTTAACATTAGAACTGACAGAAAGGAAAAAAATTATTTTTCACTTAAATTGCTGTTGAAACCGGTTTACCTCTCTTATTGTGAGGTTTCATATGCTTAACTTTGGCATTCAACGTTATTGTCACTTTTTAAAAAGATGGCAACCCCATTCCAAAATTTTCTTAAAGCTTTACCAATTTTCTCATTTAAATGTAGAAATTTAATTAAGGTATCAGGCCTTTCAATAATTTCAAAATTTCTATTAGGTGGCAATCCTATTATTTTTAATTAGTGTTATAATCTATATCTTATTCCCCAAAGTATTAGCGGCATACTGTGAACTTTCGTCAAAATCCGACCAGTAGTTTTTGCCTGAAAGCTTTACAAACATCCACACAAACTTTCACATTTATAATATTAGTTGAACTTATTTACTCATTATATTTCATTTGCCTTTCAGGTGCCATCAGTTGTATGTGAACTATACACGCATCCCCTTCAGTGAATGGGAGAAAAATCCACGTGAATTGGATAAGGTGCAATGGGATGTTAGCTATACGAAATTTCTCATCAATTCCGAAGGCTGCGGTTATCCACCCACAACGAATTGTAGTGTCTTTGCGCGCCAATATGGGTAAGAAGAGCGAGAAAATTGTTTGTTGTTTTTTGTACATAACTCGTATCATTCCATGTATTTATTTACCTACATACATATGTATATCATTCTCACACTGACCATCTCATATTCAACTCTCTTTATGCTGCAGCTACTCACACATTGGCGAACCATTTCCCTGCTACTATAGTCGTGCCTACCCGGAAGTGGTGATCGGTCGCTACTCGTGGGAGAATAATTTGTATCATCTTATTTTGTCAATCATCATACCAAATGTGCTATTCGCCATTTCGATTGGTGTGCTAAGCTATTGGTATTGTCCCTGCTGCGACAAGGCTTGCAACAAGTCTTCACGCGTCTATGCGGAGAAGTTTCCCTCGAAGGAAGAGTGAGTTAACACACATGATTTTAACTTGATTAAAATTAACTACCACTACTACGATATCATACNAAAGGAAGAGTGAGTTATCAAAAACACACATGATTTTAACTTGATTAAAATTAACTACCACTACTACGATATCATACACATACTAACAACGTACTTATGCTCGTTTTACATGAAGGCATTATCGTTTAATACATACATACATGTTGAGATGTTGTAATGGGCCTTAACTATTTACTATTTATATAAAATTAAAAAAAAAACTGTTGTCATACATACTATATCCAAAATGTACCTGCATCTAGAACCTGCGTGATTTGGAATGTTTTNCAAAAAAAACTGTTGTCATACATATTTATATCCAAAATGTACCTGCATCTAGAACCTGCGTGATTTGGAATGTTTTTCAAAATTTGTTATTGCATCAGTAAATTAATAGATAGCATAAATACATATTTATTTAGTATGTTTTATATTTTCATGTGTAGTAATAAATATATACATTTGTACTACTTGTAGAAAATTCGATTGTACTATTATTGATCGTCATATCTTTTTCATACTAAATAATTTAATATTTTATACATACGTTGCTAGCAAACAAATGTCAAGTCATGATATAAATAAGTAGATATTTTAAGTTTACGTACGAGAAAAACAGCATGTTATTTAAATTTAAAAACATACATACATACACACATCAGCGACCTGATTTGACCTCAGTTTCATGTAAACGCTTAAAAGAAAAAAATGGACACACATTTTTGGTAGCCTAAAAGATTTAAAACTGGACATACATGAGGGAATAAATTTCTAGTCATTCAAAAACAGAAAATAAATTTTTTTGTCTAGTAAAAACTAGACATAATTTTGGTTAATAAAAGAGGGCATACATTTTTGGTAATTAAAAAACTAGGCATAGCTTTTTGGTGATTTGAAAATTTGACATAATTTTTGGCAGATAAAAAACAGGGCATATGTACATTTTTATTGAATTAAAAACTCGTCACTAGACATAAATGTTTGATAAAAAAAAAATTAACATCATTTTTGTTATAAAAAAAAACCGAGCCCCCCATTTTGGCAATTTAAAAACTGTCCACAAATTCTTGGTAATTTGAGAATTGAACATAATTTTTGGCCAATAGAAACCCGGGCATAAATTTTTATGCATTTAAAAACTGGACATATTTTTTGGTTATTTAATATATTCACACAAATTTTTGGAATTTCAAAAATAACACATACAGTTCTGTTATCTAAAAACCAAAACATTCGTTTTTGATTATACTACATTTTTCGTCACTTAAAACCAGGGTGTAAAGTTTTGGTAATTTAAAAAACTGCACATAAGCTGTTGAAAATTCTGAACCCGGACATAAATTTTGGTTATTTTAAACATAAATTTCGGGTCCAATAAAAACTGAATATCTGCTTTTGACTATTGAAAAACTGGGCATAAGCTTTCGGTCATAGAAATGTTTGTCCGTTAAAATTGGTTAAAGGAAAACAGCACACAAATTTTTGGTAACTCAAAACCCAGTTATGTATGTCCAACTTAAAAAAAAAAACCAAAGCTAATTTAAGTGACTAAACATATATTTCAGACTTTAAATTACACTAATTCATTTTCAGTTTTTGAATAAAAAAAAAATATGTCGAATTTTTATGTCCAACATTTTTTGTTCCAATGTCTATATTTTGAATTTCTAAATTTGTTTACCACTTTGTAAATATTGGATAACAGAACACAAATTTGTGTTAAACCCCAGCTATTTGCATTTTTAAACAAACCCAAAAACTAATTTCATTTAGATACTGAAAATTGTTTCGAGATTTTAAATTGCAACCATTTTGTACAAGTTTATAAAATGCAAGAATTTAAAAAAATCCACTTTTTAGGTCCACAAATTTATGTAAATAAATATGTGCAGTTTTTAAATTTCCAAACTTTTTGTCAACTTTTTAAATGTCTACTAATTTATCTTCAGGAATCTATGTCCAACGTTAAAAAAAATAAGGTAAATATTTATGTCAAAAATATTGCAACCAGTTTTTAAATTATAAAAATTGTGTTTACCTTTTAAATTACCAAAAAAACTTTGTTTTTAGATCCTCAAAAATATTCGGCCAGTTTTTAAATGAAATTACAAGAATGTATGCCAAATTTTCAAATGAACAAAGAAATATGTCCAGTTTTGAGGTTTCCACAAATTTTTGTCGGATTTTTGATTTACCAAAGTATTATGACAAAGTTTTAAATGGCCATTTACATTTAGTGTTTAAATTACTAAATGCTTTTATGTCGTTTGGAAATGGCCGAAAATTCATGTCCACTTTTTAATATAAATTTTGTACTCTCCTATATACTGAGTAACTATAACTTTCAGTTTTGTTTACTTTGCATGCATTGCTATATACTCCTTTTAAACATCTCTATTGGCAAATGCAATTGGCGTTGGTTGTTATTGCTTTGCATCATCAAAATTGAGGAAACCAAAAATGCATAACTTTTATTTTCATTTTTTTTTTGCTATTATTTCCTACCGCCTTACAAATTCTTTTCCCTCATATGAAGTTAATAATACTTAGTAGTATTGTCATTTATTTAAGTATACCTTTTGAAAAACAAAAATAAAACCCAAAAAAAGAAACTACTAAAATCAACATTTACAATTACTAACGAATTTTTACAGGATTGTTAACTGCATGAATTGCAAACCGGAGAAAACGTTATCCCTCAGTAATTTTTAAGCGTAAATTATGCAAGTGCCTGTTTGAAACCGTTTGAAGTAAATTTAAAAATATACTTTTTAATCCAAAATAGAAACGAAAACTTAAGATATGCTACTTTACAAGTGAGATTTAATGCAGCTGAAATACCTACTAGTTATTAGTTAGTAATTAAACAACTTTTTGTGCACCTTCTTTTATCCTCTAATAAATAGTTAGTTATCTCTCTCATAAAAAAAAAAATAGTTGTTGGAATTTAGTGTTGTTTGAATGGCACTTAAAGTAGAGCACTCAGTTTTCCCTATTGATATTTGAAATATAAAAATAAAACGGCTAATGGTGGCTAATGATTTTTACCGATGACTTTTATAAATAAAACGCTTCAATAACTGTTATCTAAAACAAACATAATATAAACATCAAAAATAACTGTTATTTTCAGACTTTTTAGATAAAAATCAAAAATAATTGATGATTTATTTTGGAACGAATTTCCGTCGTCCCTTGTCAAGTTTGTTTTGCAAACAACCAATTTCGGCATTGTGCCATCTTCAGTGTCATTTTTCGTTCAAAATAATTGTTATTATTCGCTTCAAAAATAATTGTTATTATGGATTTATAAAATAAAAATAAAAAATAATTATTTTTTTTTTAATTTTACATAAAAACTGCAAATAAAAATTTATTTTCAAACTTGGTTCTAGGTGAAAAAAGAAATCAACTGGTATGTAGTACCAGTTAGTTAGTTGTAGAACAGTTTTCATCAATAACTGTTATGTTCGGACCCTGGTAGAGGGTATTCACTTTGGGAAAGTCTGCCTCCGAGTGGAAATTTTTTTCAAAATTTTATTTTTGATACAGAAGTGCGCCTAGGGCATCTAGATGTATTTCTGCATCAATTACAGAATTAAAAAAAAAAATCGTTCAAATTTTCTTGGCTATTAAAGCCGATATAAACGGCTGTTAATTGCGAAAATTTAATAACATGCAAGTTATAGTATTACTCTCGCACAAAATAATCGCTTCTTTTAGATTTTACCCGCAAGAATTTTTATTTATTTTACTTTGTTTTTGTATTGAATGCATTAAGTAACTTAATTCTAGGCATTTATTTGCTGCATACGTACGCAGTAGTTAGTTGAGTAGCAGTTGATTGATTTTGCATGCATTAATGTAGACTACACTCCGATTACTCCAGCAATTTAAAATACCCACATTGAACACATGATCAGCATGATATTTGTAGTTAAAGTTGAAGAATTTTGCACACAATTCACCAAAAAAAACAAACACCATAAATTTCAATAAAAAGTCCAACAAAGCTTTTAAGAACACATGCTATTTCAATTATTATAAAATTTCTGTTGTAGAAAACTTCTGTGTCAAAGTGACGACGAAGATGATATGGAATACTAGTGAACTAGAAAATCTAGTGTTATGCTAGAAGAAGAAGAAGAAGAAGAAGAAGAACTCCTCGTAGCATTAGCAAACAGCTGCACAGCTCACAACAAATACAATACATACAATGAAAACAATTTTAGAAAATTTCGAAAATCGATAAACACATTTTGTATTCCTATTCGTATTCGTATTTGTAGTCATTCGTATTCAATAGTTAAATGCCAACATATATTTACGCTCAGATTCCCAGATAGTGCATACATACAAACAAAGAAATGTACAGAAAAGTAGGTACGTTATGTACTCGCATAGCATCATCTAAGTAGCTATTTATTCATATTCGTAAATGTACTCTATGCAGTGTATGTATGTTGGTATGCGAACAAATGATGTTCGTCTTCGCATTCGTATTCGTATTCATGTACTATATTCACCTAGCCACCAGTCTCAGTATTCGTAATTCGAAATATTTTCCCACTCCATATTTAGCGCTAAATACACACACAAACGCAATAGTATGTACATACGTATATGTGCTAACAATACAATAGTATAAATATACCAGCTTATCACAAAAGGCCAATGCAGTATTTGCTAGTTATTTCTTAAAGCTTTTAGTCATAGTTATTTTCAAATTGCAAATGCACTTGAAGTAAAACTTGATATGCAATGCTATGTATAGCACGATATTATATGTAGTATATGAATAAATAAAATATGTAAGCTTTTTTGAATTTATATTATAATAATAATAATAAAAATACAACCCTCAAATTGTATATGTATATGAATAGCCGCTAAGTAAATGTGTAGAATAAGAAAGTATACGTCGACAGCTTAGTTTCGAAAGTTAGCAAATAAAAACATAATAGCATTGTTACTAAGTATTATTTAAGTAACATTAATTTAAAGCTTTTGCTCTTTTTGGCAATGAAAGTGAAAGCTTTGGATGAAGTGATAATTTACATTAAAACTTTTTTGAAAACTTCATTAACGAAGAAATGCAAGTAAAAGCTTTGAATTAAGTGAAAGCTCTGGATGAAGTGAAAGCTGCAAGAGTAAAAAAGTTCTGGGCATATCTTATCAATCCAATGCAAGCAAAAAACTAAACTTTCACTCCCCAATCAAATCACTGTTATCAGCTTAACTTAACTTTCTTCGTATAAATAGTTTCAAGTAAACCCCTTCGTTGAAGTAAAAGCAGCGAGTGAATATAAAAACTTTGATAGCAGCGAAAGCTGCAAAATTCACAACTTTTTTGAAAGGTTTTGCTTGGTCAGTTTTTTTTTTTTCAAAATTAAATACAAGTAAACACGCTTGGAAAAGCGGAGGCTACAAATTCAAAAGTCCAGCTGAAAACTGTGCGCAAGCTTTTATACAAGCAATTCTTTAATCAGCAAGCGTTTGAAAAAAAAATTAGCTTTTATAGAGGTGTTAGCGTTTTCTAAAAGTGGTTAATCAGCAAGCACTTAAAAGAAGACATCATTTTTAGAATTCTTAGCAACTTTTCTAAAGCTTTAGCATCAGCAAGCGATTTATAAAGATCTGCTGCAATCGAAACAGGGTGAAAGCTCTGCGCGTAAGTGAAAGCTTTTTTGTAAAAGTGAAAGCTTTGCACTTTTTTCACTCCCACTTTTGCAGCACATATAAGCCAGTCATTTTATTGCATTCATGCTGTTTATTTCAGATTCCTTCGCGTCTAAAATTTGCAAAACTTCTCAAGCTTTTCACTACGATATGTACTCGTATGTTAAAAATTAATTGAAAAATGTTATTTATGTATAAATATACATTTATTAAACAAATATTGTGATAATAGTCATAATTACAAAAAAATTTTTGTTCTCAGCGTGTTTTACTGTACACAAAAAAAAATTGTTTTGAAGTGTATGTATGGCATAAGAGAGCCCTAAGATTTGTGAACCAAAAGTTGAATGGCAAATAGTTGAATTATAAATGTAAATTAGAATTATAGCGCATACATAAATGGAAAACGAATTTGGCTTTGAGGGATGAGTAAATAGATATACTTATAAAACGTATGTTCGTACTTAAGTTAGTCTAGACAAATTCCATTGCAAATAAAATATGGTTGGAAAAAGATAAAATTGTATCTACATAAAAGTTGAGTTAGCCAATAATGTTTAAGCAACTGAAAGTTATAAAATTTATTAATTTAAGAATTTATTTGAGAAAGAAAAATTCAGCAAATGTTAATGCAAATATTTTATAAGAAAACAAAATTTTCTTTCTAAAATTAAACCCCAAAGCAAATGTACCTAAACGACAAGTTAAGTTATCTTTTCCTTCAAAAAAAATATTATATTTTTGTTCACATCGCTTGAAGCTACATATACATATGTGTACGAAGTACCTATTATGGTTAATATTTTAAACAAATCTTCCGAATAACTAAAATAAAGCAAAAAAAGCGAGCGCTTCAAGAAAGTGTTGAAATATAGTTTATTTTTTAGATCAGGGGAAAATTAGTTTTTCCCTTACGAAAAATCTACAATATGGAGAATTTTTGGAACGTAAAATGCGTTAAAATTATTTAATCCTACGAATCTTTGATGATCATAATGGGGCTCATTTCACGCTGGGCGGCAATGTTAATGATGAAAAAACCGAACTGTGTGCAGCAGGCAGCCGCGAGAGCGACTTCCTCAAAAGGGTAAAAGCTGCAACCGATCTCATCTAAAGCTTCAAAGTGGCAATTGGCTGTAAGTCAGGAATATTCGCTAAGCAGGAAAACGTAAAATTTTCCTATTTCTCAGAGAGTTTTGCTAATGTTTTTCAATGATTTTTATGAGAAGCTTTTTCTTGAAAGAAATACACTCGGATGTGGGCCATTCACTGTCGAGCGGCAACCGCTGTTGGAAAAAAAACTTTTTATACTATAATTTTGGGATGTTTCTCAGACCAGAAATCGCACTCGCACCGGGATCCTGCCAGCTGGAAGCCCGCATCTCTATTCACCCGGCATGTGTGGGGCATTTATTTTTGTCGTAAGCCACTACAAAACGGGCTTTGGATAGCATTCGGGATTTTGAAGATCAACTCTTATGGCTTACTTGCAGAGGTTCAGGGTATACATTTTTATAAGTTCACATTCCGGTTTGTTTTATCCGGTTTTTTATGTCCTCGATTAATGTCTGTCTTAAAAATTGTATTATGGTCTTCAGATGATCAAAAGAGCTAATGTAAATTCGAATATGAATATTTGAACAATACAAAGTAAACAAAAAAAAAACAAAAAAATAGTAATCTTTTGGGGTTTTACTTTCTAATATTTTTATTTCGTATTGACTAATTTTACTTAAAATTTGCATGCATTTGCTGAATTCAAATTTTCAAAAAGGATTACAATTTCATAGCTAATCGTTTTTGTACTTTTAATAAGCACACATTTCAAAAAGCTTGAAAATAGGTCGGCGTCATTTGGTTTTTTGCAAATATAAAATGGCGAAAAATAAAATAAAAAGTAAATAAATTAATTTATATTCCAAAGTTTTTTGCAATACCTACCTGCATACTAACACAAATACAAATTGTAACAAATTGATACAGGATTCTATTTACAAAAAATAAAAATTAAAAAAAAAAAAACACAATAATATATTTCTTCAGCGCGAAATTGTAAATCTCTTCAAACAAATATAAAAGTAATGGCAATTGCTAAATAAAATTTAAATGAAAATAAGAAATTACATATTTGTTTGATTTATTTTTTCTTAATTGAGATACAAAAGTGTGTATTTTGCACCTTCGGAAATCAAAATTTGCGTAAGTATTTAAGAAGACTAGTATAGCCCAGTTGTCGAATCAAAATCCAAAAAAGCGGATTTTCGGTCCATGCTAATGTGCATAGTCGTACGCCAACAATTATTTGTTTTGGGTATGTAAAAATAAAATCAAGATTTATGCCCACTGTTGAGCCTGAAACAGCCTGTTAAGTTATATGTACAGGGCGAAGGGTTCACAGAAGTAGCGAAAATAACTATAGGTCCCATAAATGCCGAAAATACCACACACAAAAAATCGTTGCGTCTCGAAATGTCTACGAAAATCCTAAAAAAACAAAACAAAAAATCCTGAACAAACCAAAACATTTAGAAATAAGTCTAAAGTAAATCCGTAGAGTCCCGCAAGTTACCGAACAATACCGAAAAAAATCCGGAGCGTCACCAAATATTCTTAACGGTCCTGAAACATAAAACACGAACAAGCTCGAACAGGCCGGAAAAAAAATTCTGATACGTCCGAAAATCCAAAGTTCCAATAAGTCAGGAAAAATCTCGAGGGTCTTGAAAGAACTAATGCAGATCTGGTAATATAAATACTAATAATATTCCAGAAAACGCACAAAATTCGGAAATATTTCGAAAAAAATTCCGGAAAAATTAAAAAGCATTTAATTCTACTGTTAAACAAAACAAATTTTAATTTTATTGTAATTATGCTGAAGTTGCAAAATAACCCGAAAATCTAGCAAAAAATCGGAAATATCCCGAAAAAATCTTGAAAGAATAGTTTTCCCAAAATTCCAGAAAGTCTCGAAAAAAATTTCAACAGATTCAAAAACAATTCCGAAAAATACCAGAGAAATTCCCAATAGTCCCGAAGGATGCCGAGTGTACCTGTTTAAGCGCCTTCGTGCGTTTCCCATATAAAATCAAATATAACGAACACCCACCCACACGTATGTATGTATGTACGTACGTACATATGCGTAAGAGGATATGAAATTTTTAATGTTTTTATGCGATTCTCAAATATCTCCTCGCTGAACTTATTGAACTATTAAGTCGCTGGCATTCCCAACCATAGTCCACGCTAACCCAGCTTGGCTCATCACATGATGACTGAGGCAACGCCCACACTCCATTCTAGGGAGTAATCTTTGAGCTCGGTAGTAAGCTACGGCTTACAAACCAACCAGGAGGCACCTTACACCAGCTCTTACGTCAGCTAGAGCGCGACTCCTCCAATGACGTCGCCAATAAATATGTAAATGGTAAAAAGGGCCACATGTCGTGCTTCATTATACTCATCTGCTTGCGCGCACATCCCTCTCTCTCTTTTTCTCTATCTCTCTCTGTCTCATATCAGGCTTATGAAGCATTTAGTTGACTTTATATTTTAAAATGGACGAAATCCAAAAAAAAATAATACCAAAAATTTTGAACAGTGTAAAATAAATACCGATTGGTCACAAAAATGCAGGGACCGAACATAGCAGTTTTTGATGGAAACTGTCATGAAAAAATTCACTATGAAGGAAATGTTCTGCAACTAAATGATACATACCAATCGATTTTCTTTTCACCGAGAATAAAATTTGAAAATAAATTTTTATTTGCAATTTGTATGCAAAATTAAAAAAAAAAACAAAATTAAAAAAATAACATTTATTTTTAATTTTTATATTATAAATCCAAAATAACAATTATAGTTGTGTTTTTTATATTATAAATCCAAAATAACAATTATTTTTAATTTTTATATTATATGTCTTAGATACCAGTTATTGAAGACCTTTATTTATAAAAGTCATCAATAAAAATCAGTCAGTGACTTTTACTTTTAAAAGTCGTCAATATAAATCAGTCACCAACTTCTATCACTCGTATAAAAGTCATTAACATTTTATGCAGTTAAGAAGAAGTTGGGAAAAAAACTGTTTCTACGACTTATACAAATTACTTTTATAAGTATTATTTGAAAAATAAAGGTCAGTGACTGATTTTTGTTTATGACTTTTATAAATAAAAGTCTTCGATTACTGTTATCTGAGACACATAATTTAAAAATAAAAAATAACTGTTATTTGCAATTATTTAGATAAAAATCAAAAATAATTGATATTTTGGATTAATAAAAGAAAAGTCAGAAATTACGGTTATTTAATGAGTAATTAAATAAAAGTAAAAAAATAATTGTTAAAGAGCGATTTTTTTAATAAAAGTTGCAACTGTTACGGTCCCTGCAAAAATACCGAAGAATTGCGAAATAGTTTTGAAAATTTTCTAAACTTTCCGAAAATTTTCCAATAACATCTCAAGAATCTCAAAAATCCTTACGGATCTGCAAAAATTAAGTTCAGAAAAAATCCCCCAAAAATTCCGAAATCTATCGAAACACTCCGAAGCAATTATGGAAAACTCTGCAAAAGATTCAAAGTAAAAATCACAAGGTCTTTTGTTTTTAAAAATTATCACAATAACAATAACTTTCCATTTTGTAGTAATTATGCTGAAAACTACGAAAAGGTCACGAAATAAAAAACAAAAATCACCGAAAAGTACAGAGTAATCTATAAAAAGTATCATTTTCTTTATTGTTAATTTATTTTAGGGTTTTAGCAGCGTCGGTGATTTCGTCATTGAAAGAAATGCCCCATTTTGAATGAATGTAAATAAATTTAATTGACTGTAAGTTATCCTCAATCTGTGACATGTTAAAAGTGAGAATGGAAGATCGAGTTGTATGTAATTATATTTATGCAGTAAAATGACGACGACCATAGCGGCAAATAGTTGTTTTCTACTCACACACACATACATACGTACATTTATGTATGTTTACTTGTGTATCACCAACAATTTACAATGCAAAACCATTTTAATATTTGACTGTCTAGCTGTTTGTTTGTTCATTTGCTGGCTTGCTACTCATTTTCACCATACAATGTAGTTGTTATTTTTGTAAAATTAATGTGACCTACAAATGTTTGCTTGCACCACATTCGCATTCATATCAACAGCAGCGGGAAGATGACAAAGAAGCAAGCGCCACAAAAGCAAAAACAAAACTGCATCAACAAAACTGCGACGCAACACTCTTACGGTGCCAATGGTGCAACCCCAGCTGAAAGGGGCCATGTTACTGATGACTTCACTACTAAAAGGTCACAGACAAAAGACTACTGCAGCAGTGGCAATTACGTATGCAGGCCACTTTGCATTTTATGTGTGTTGAGTTGAGTGTGTGTGTGTGTGTGCCGTTAGTTTATTATCTTTGTAGGTGCGTTGTTGTTATAATGTATATGTGCTGCTGTGGAATTGCAAGAGACGCGATGTTCACACCATTTCAGATGAAAATAGAAGCAAAAAAAACATCACTAAAGTGGCAGCAGAAGCCAACAGAACACAGAGTCCACGTGGCGTATACGCAACATTCCATTCCACACAGGAGAACAACTAGGCAGCCATGTGAATAGTAGCGTAAATTGAAATTTATATGAGTCCTCAGCGTACAGCAGGCAAGCAAGTAAGGGACATGTTTATTTTATGAGTACAAAATGTGAATGTGATGACAACAACGAAAGCAACAACCAACTATGGCGCTAGTTACTGACTGCTGATGCTGCTGACACTGGCGCTGGTCTCAAGTATCCAAAGTTTGCCATGGAGTGCATTTAAAACACGAATACGTCACACACACACATAGCAGGCTGCTAGTAGTAGCACTGGTACACTAAGATGACCCACTACAAAAAAGGAAATCATACTGTTTTGACTAATTCGCGAGCTCGTAGACCATTAATTGGTTGTGAGTATTCCAACTGCTTGAACGACTATATTTGAAAATTAAAATAACCTCCCAAATGCTATTTTATATGCATGTACATTAGGGTGGTCCAAAATAAAAAATCGGAATTTTAATGCTCCTACCCTCTAGGATTGTCGTTTGAAATCAAAAAATATTTAGAGTTCGGTTAAAGCGCTCACAGTTTTCCATGTATTTTATATGCAAAAAAAACAAATTTTCGTAGAAACGGTATGGAATTATTGAAAATCAATATTTTTCCAAAGAAAACAACTGGTTCTCTTTATGAGGCTTCCAATAACAATAATCAATTATTTATTTAACCATTTCTTAATACTAAAGATTTTTTATTTATCACCCCATTGCATTTTCTGACATTTTGTGAGGATTTTGGCGGACCTATGACATATAGTTACTATGCAAATATGGTTAAACAAATGACTGGGTATTATTACTGGGAATCTTCTGAAGAGAAATACTGACTTTTAAGAATTATATACCATTTCTACGAAAACCTGTTTTTTCCATATAAAATACATGGAAAACTTTGAGTGGTTTGAGCGACCTCTAAATAGTTTTTGATTTCAAAATAAAAAAGTAGGGGTATATATATATATATATTTTTTTTTTTGGTATAGAACAATCCTAGGAGGTGGCGGTATTAAAATTCCGATTTTACTTTTCCTCATGCAAAATAGACGTATTTAAAAAAATTTAGGAAAGGGAAGCATTTTCATATGTAGAGCGTGCGGCACTCTAATGTGGTGCCAAAACTATGTCCTGTTCCTCCGTCGTCGCGTGCTGACACTCGCTTCCTCTTGCTATTTGCTATTTTCAGGCAACGCTTGCAATGTGAATGACATTGTGAGCTTTGCGGTCGCTCCCACGGTCGGTCGGTCAGTCAGTCGGTTGAAACTTTGGCAGCAAACCCCTCGAAGACATACCCCAACCATTGAATGCAGAAGGAGTTTGCGCGCGCTGACACACATACGAAATGAGAACAACACGCATACTAGTACAAATACCCGTAGGCACCACTCACCTACATATACATATGTACATATACATATCCATACACAAACAGTGAGCGAATGTTGTGGAAAATATGTAATTCTGTATGTCCTTCTACAACTGATAACTGGTAAGCTCACTGAAGTCAGTGTATTATGAGCGTTTAGTCTTACTTGGATACTCGTCGCAAGCGGTTGGGTTACGGTACGCTGGCATTCTCCTACGGATTCAAACGCGACCAAACTAAATCAAAAATACATTCATACATATAGCCAACCGAGCAAAATTTTTTTTTTTTTTGTGTTATTGTTGTTCGAACCCACATAATAATATATACATATTAATTTAATTATCGATGGAAATACTTGTGGATTCATGTGAATGAGAGAGAAAATTCGAATTTAAAAAATTAAAGATTATTAATATTGCAGTACACTCAAAATCGAATGAAATGAAAGTGCTTTAATATTCCTTTATGGGTTATTTGGTTAAAGACTAAAACAGAAATTGTGAAACACCAGTAAACGCTGCTAAACTAAACTCTTTTGAAGCAGGCAAAATAAAATCCGATTCTCACTCCACCACGCACGATTTTGCTATACCTCATTTTAGTGCACTCCAGTAAAACTCTGCAGTTTAGTAGGTGGCACACACCGCTTGACAGCCCACAAGCGAACCACCGACCTACCAACCAACCAGCCAGCCAGCCCACGAAGCCACCAGTCATTCGCTAAGGCAGCGGAGTTTGTTTGCCAGTCAGTGTCAGTGTCAACGAGAGAGAGAGATAGAGAGAGAAATTGGTGAGCTGTTAGTAACTTGAACAGAGTAGGGAAAAAGTGGGCATTTATAAGAAAGAAATTAGTTTAAATTATGTGTGTTTGTTTATGTGCGCGCGTCTTAATACTCGACTAGTAGTTTGGCAAACGCTGGTGACTAATTGCTATACTTAGTACATTCAGTACATTAGAGTGGTTCAATTTTTGTATAGGGGAAAAAAATTCCACCCTAGAAAACGGGGCACCCCTCGATTTTTTCCATTTGATATTTGTAATATGTATACCGACTTTCAATTTTCTACAGCAACCAATACAGGGTGCTCAATCACCTTGATATGCTTTACTGGATCGCTGTGAAACTGGCAAAAATATTGGTGATTTTTATAAAATGTTGAAGTTTGTGATATTTTTTAGCTAATTTAAATTTGAAACGTTCTTAGGTTGCTTAACCAATTGCTTGATTAATGTACAGTGCCGGACAAATGTATTGGCTCAGAGAATTTTTCGCAATATCTACAAAGTTTTTTATTCTAATTTATTTTCGATAATTTGTTATAAAAATATAGTTCGTCCTACACCAAAAAACATAAAAACTAAATATCTAAACTTTGTGCAAAACTCCGGAAAACTCCATAAATTTGCACACTAGTTTGCAACTTTCTATCCAATTAAAAAAAAAGTTCTAAGTACGCAGTTTTATAGCCCATCTAATTTTATTATAACAAAGTGCAAGCCTGAAGTTGCTAAAAAAATCGCGTTGATTTTTGGCAATTTTTTTCAATCAGGTTCTTCCATACAAAGTATATTCGACAATTATTTTTTGTATGGAGTAAATGAGCAACACCTTCCACTAAAAAAAATTTTCAAAAATCAACCCAATTTTTTAGGTACTTCAAACTAGCACTTTGAAAAATTTAATGGGCTACAAAACTACATACTTAGAATTCTTCTCAAAAATCTGAATAGAAAGTTGCAAATACTTCTGTCCGGCACTGTATGTACTCAATACTTCTAGAGTAATATATGAGCATCCTATAAACTTATACTAAGAAACGTAAAGTTGGTGACAGCAACTTTTTCGGCAAGAGGAAAAATTTTGTAAGGTGTCCCAAGCCATATCTCTGAAAAAATTTTTTTGTGTCACTCTAATGTACATATACATACATACATTAGCGCAAACAAATGACATCAACAAGTAAGAATGTTTAAGATCGATGAGCGTGGAGCTAAGAGAAAATGTAGCAGAAATTATACAATTTTGGTGCAAAGTGCAAACTTATGCGCGTAAAGTTAAAGGAAATAGTTTTACAAAAGCAAAAAGGATTTGAAAGCCATATATATATATATACATACATATGTACTGCAAAATGTCTCAAACAAAATGTGCGTGTAATTTTTTTCGTGTCAAGTGCATTTTAATGCTGTGAGTCAGCTGCAAAAAAATAAATAAATAAACCATTCTACTATTACGAGAAAATCTGCTAGGAATTCTTAATCCACTGCCGCTTTTAATCAGTTATCAATCAGCAGTCAATCGTCAGCAGTCAACAAACCCCTACCACCGTCACCACCAACGTTACTCCTTTAAATTCCCCACGTCCGCGTGCTCTCCAACCTACAAATGGGTCGTCGCAAGGATAAACCACGTCTTATACCGGAACAGGATAAGCGCATATGTCGCGCCATTTGCCTTTGCCAATTGACAATGGTGTTATCCTGCGTGTCCATCGTCTACCTGAGTGTTGCNTAGTCAACAAACCCCTACCACCGTCACCACCAACGTTACTCCCCACAACCGCGTGCTCCCCAGCCTACAAATGGGTCGTCGCAAGGATAAACCACGTCTTATACCGGAACAGGATAAGCGCATATGTCGCGCCATTTGCCTTTGTCAATTGACAATGGTGTTATCCTGCGTGTCCATCGTCTACCTGAGTGTTGCTATCTATTCGCCATCACTAAAGTGAGTAATCATTATACATATGTACTTATGTAGGTTATACATTAATACATACAAACATATGTATGTAGTATGTATACTATCTGCAGGATTGCACGTACGCATTTACATATTTACAAAATACAACAACGATAACAAATTATGCAGTACTAGAAGGAAAAGTAATCTGATTAGGAATGTATTTATGTATGATCTGAAGAAATCGAAACATATGTAACGGGTGATTTTTTAAGAGCTTGATACCTTTTTTTTAAAAANGTGCGATAATACAGGGAAAAGTTATCTGATTAGGAATGTATTTATGTATGATCTGAAGAAGTCGAAACATATGTATTTTATTTTATGTTAGTGTGCTATGGACCCTTGAACTTGAAATTCCGATGTCCGTGTTTTCTTAATTCTTATCTTCTAAAGCACTTCGTCGATTTTTATCGAGATATTGGAGACTCCACAGCCAATATAGTACTAGCAAACAGTAAACAGTCCTCTCCAAAAAAATATTACAAATATTTAGCTGTTTCTGAGTGAAGAGAAGTCTCGCATGGTGTGGGCTTTTCATTTCATCAAATTTTAATACACATCTATATGCAGGCCAAACTCTTCAATTTGACTTCTCAGTTTTGAAATTCGAAGGAACGTTGCAGATCTGACGACCTTGCCAAAAAATACCTGGTATGTAGTATGTATGTACATACACCACATATGTATATATACAGGTATGACTTTTGGAATAGGTGGCAACTCTAATAAAAAAAAACATTCCAAACTAAAGTTTTCTGAAAATAGTTTCGTTTGAGATTCATATTTCATACAACTTGTGTATAATTTAAATAAATTCGATTTTTCAAAGATGTGGCAACGCCGTTAAAAATTATTTTCAATCTAATATCTCCTTAAATCTCGTTCATCTGACATTGCTATGCATATTGCAATTAACTGTTGAATTAAGTTGAATTTGATTTTTTAAACACGTGGCAACCCTCCTAAATACAGTTCAAAAAATAAAGTATTTTCAAACCATTTTGAATGGCAACCTTCTTTTAATAATTCATTTATACAGTAATTCGAATTTAATGTCTTAAACCGGTGGCAACCCTCTTTGAGTATCTCGAAAATATTTTAAATATTCAAATTAAGCATATCNGTGTGCTATGGACCCTTGAACTTGAAATTACGGTGTGCGTGTTTTCTTAATTCTTATCTTTTAAAGCACTTCGCCGATTTTTATCGAGAAATTTGGAAACTCCACTGCCAATATAGTACTAACAAACAGTAAACAGTCCTCTCCAAAAAAATATTCCAAATATTTAGCTGTTTCTGAGTGAAGAGAAGTCTCGCATGGTGTGGGCTTTTAATTTCATCAAATTTTAATACACATCTATATGCAGGCCAAACTCTTCAATTTGACTTCTGAGTTTTGAAATTCGAAGGAACGGTGCAGATCTGACGACCTTGCCAAAAAGTTTCTGGTACGTAGTATGTTCATACATATATAGACAGGTATGACTTTTCGAATAGGTGGCAACTCTAATCAAAAAAAAACATTCCAAACTAAAGCTTTCTGAAAACAGTTTCGTTTGAGATTCATATTTCATAAAACTTGTGTATAATTTAAATAAATTCGATTTTTCAAAGAGGTGGCAACGGCGTTAAAAATTATTTTCAATCTAACATCTCCTTAAATCTCGTTCATCTGACATTGTTATGCAGATGTCAACTAACTGTTGAATTAAGTTGAATTTGATTGACGTGGCAGCCCTCCTAAACACAGCTCAAAAAAAATTAAGTATTTTCAAACCATTTTGAATGACAACCTTCTTTTAATAATTCATTTATACAGTAATTCGAATTTAATGTCTTAAACCGGTGGCAGCCCTCTTTGAGTATCTCGAAAATATTTTAAATATTCAAATTAAGCATATCTTGCCACTCTTTCGTTGGACACCTATATTTTATAATGGCATATATGTAACTTGTGTGTAGTTCAATTAAATTCGATTTATCAAACAGTTGGTAGCCTTTGACAAGTTATTTTCAGACAAAACGCCTTTTAAACCTCGGTGGTCTGACACTCATTTTATGATACGAATTTCAATTATTTCATTCCTTTAAATCATTATGTGGCAACCCCTTCTATAAGTAGTTATAAATAAAACCCTTTCAAACTCATTTCGATTGATAGCCATATTGTAATAATTGGCAACCCTTTTTGAAGAAGTAAAACCGTATTTCACATAGGCAGCCCTTCGATTTTTTTGCGATTTAGAATTATTTTGAATATTCGGTTGCTAAACTTCGAAAACCTTTATTTTCTTTCCTGTGGACTATATTTTCAATTACCGAGTTTTCCAACAGAGAAAAAAATATTTTCAAAATTAATTTCTTCTTTTGAAGGTAATGCTTGAATTTTTGGTTTGAAACAGATTTTGCATTATTGCCTATAGTCACACGATTTGTACAATACGGCGAACTTCATTTCAGACATTTTTTTCAAATAGTTTGTCGTGATTGGAATAAAGACAAATATTTCTGCATTCACACAGTTGGGATACGCTTTTCACCAAATTTTAGGGCAAATGCGCAAATGTGTGATGATGCCTTAAAGAAATTAAAGAAGAATGATGGTCTCAACTTAATAAAAATTTTGAAATTTTCGAAAATAGTTAACATGTGCCCTTTTAACCCGCATGCCAACTTATTTTTTTAATTTACATAAAGTAATCTGAATTAATCCATTCATTGTAATTTTCTTGCAGAGCATTCAAATCCGGTTTCGAACTCGACCCCGTCATGTGCCAAACGGTCGATCGTCAAATGCCAAATAACTGCCCGTGGGCCTCATGCGGCGAATGGTGTCTGACGCGCACCAGCGGCTTTTGTCCGCAAATACATTCGGTGGTGCGACGCAACGGCACCGATATACAGCTCAATAATTGCACGCGAATCGCCAATACATCCTGTGCCATGGTAAGTGAATAAAAACTCAATTTCTTTGCTTGAGCATGTGTGTGTGTGTGTGTGTACTTTCATAGATATGTGTGCGGTTTCAAGAGGCCACTTGATGGTCCGTATGCTGCTGACAAGTGTACATTTTTTGACTTTTATTGAAGTGTATTCAATAGTACTACATACTCAAAGCGCTGCTCGCCGCTGCTATATGCAATTATAACTTTCTAGAAAATATCGGTAACAAGAAAATTTCAATCTATGTACAGGATGTCAATTAGTCGACTCCCTCGCTTTTTACCACGTGATGAAATGATGAATACGATTTATTCTAAAATTTTCAAATGGCAAGTGAGGAATCCCTGCATACATGTGTACATATGTATTAAACCGTCCCAGAAAAAAAAGTTCGCCGTACACTCCTGAGTCTAAAGTATCTCTCCAAGGCAATTTCGAAAAAAAAAAATTTTTTTTGACTCAACGTAGAAGTTGCTTTTTGAATTTTTTCGTCATATTTTCGGCATTTATAGTATTGTATGTACTTACCAGCTCTCAGTTCTTACCCTAACGTACCACCCTAATATGAAAAAATTAAAGCCCACTAAAAGTTATGAAACTCTTGCTATGGCAGTATTTCGATTATTCCAGTAAAACTATTAAAAAACAATGTAGTATTTCCGAATGTAGATGTCGCCGAAAAGTGCAAAAAAGGCGACCTCTCAGTCTGCGTAACAAATACTAAACGGCCCTTGGAAGATTAGTACTTAATGTTTAGCAGATGAAATTGTATCCGTCAGTATTTGTCTAATACCGAAGATTCAAACAAAATATAGACAAATCTATCAGTTATGGTGTCAATGCAGTCGCAAAAATTCTTGAGAAGCCTATGACCGCTATATCCAAGGCGAATTTATATAAGGTGCTGTTACTAGATCGGCTGATTTTGTATACACTGCCGGAACAAAGTATTGGCACAGCAAATTTTTCACATTATATGCAACAATTTTATTCTAATATTTTTCCGCCAATTTTGTATTAAAATATGGTTCATTCAACAACAAAAAACATAAAAATATAATTCCTAGACTTTGTGCAAAACTCCCGAAAATTCAGCAAATCTTATCATTTAATTCTAGTTAAAAAATGCAAGTTCTGAGTGAGTCAAAAATCGTGTGGATTTTTGATAATTTTTTTGTTGAAGGTGTTTTGCATTTTTTCCATATAAAGTATTTTTCGAAAAAAATGTTTGTATGAAAGAGACTGCGTGAAAAAAAAATTCCAAAAATCAACTGTAATTCCTAGCTACTTAAAACTTGCACTTTAATATAATAAAATTGATTGGGCTACAAATCTGCATACTGAAAAAAATTATAAAAAATCTGATTGAAAAGTTGACAACTTTCATGAAAATTTGCTGAATTTTCGCGAGTTTTGCACAAAGTTTAGGTATTATATTTTTACATTTTTTGTTGTTGAATGAACCATATTTTTATACGAAATTATCGAAAAAATATTAGAATGAAAATTGTTGCATATATTGTGAAAAATTTGCTTTGCCAATACTTTGTTCCTTTGAATCTTTGGGCGAAGACCACATTCCAATTGAAAATAAAGAGGGAACTTGGAGTACAGGCCGTTAGTGCGAACGGTTTTCGCTTCTTAGAGGATCTCTTTAGCCAACTTAATTATGAAAAAGTTCTATCTAGAAACTTTTTTCCAATTTTGGCCGCACTTTTGGATTTCGGCCGCTCTGTGCGTCAGTACTAATAATAATGAGGCACACGAAGAGTTTTCGCCTATCTCGTCCCGAGAGCTTGACGTTTGCCTCATTCATAGAACTTTTGATAGTTTTGGTGAAAAGTACTCTGTGTGTGGTAACTGGTTAACTTTTAATCGATAAATTTGTTTAAACACTATTTGAATATCCGCCATGGCTTTTTAACAAAACTCTGTCCAAATCATTATTCACAAATTACTCAATTATTGATCGAAAACCTTATTAGAATACAAAATTGATTCGTACCACCAGACATCCAAGCGATGAGCAGCCAAACCATCTTCGACATTTCTGGTGACACGGATAATAGCCATTTTGAATAAGTTGCTCACCGGCAGAGGCCATTCTATGTGTGTCAAGAGGCGACACAGGCCTTTTACTGGGGTAAATCCAAAAATGTAATTATAATTCTGTTAAACCATTTACTGGCCACAATTGGAATTGAGAAGGTCCGATAGCTCCACTTGAGTTATCTCTACCAAGCTAATGAAAAAGGCAAACCAGAAAACAATTTAGTCTCCTTGTATGGAGACTAGGCCAAAGACATAACAAATTGTGTACAGATTCCTTTCCTTTTCATTCTGGCAACTTTTACACAGGGAACTGGTTGGCTTACAACAATGTTAAGGAATTTGTTTTTATCACAGTGTCCTGGGTTGTCGCCGGAAAGAATCGTTGCTGTGGATTAATCTAAACTCAAAAGATCCTCAAACCGTATTTTTTTTTGTTAACCCTAACCCATACAAAACTTAAGGCTTCACAGTCAGACCGGTTGGTTTATAATAACTTTGATAGAAACTTACTACTCTCTGTTAGATAAGTGGTTTTCTCTATCTCTGCTTGAAAGGCACTGCAGTCGTTAGGTAGATATTATGATTTCCTGATCTGCAAGTCTACCGAATAAACACCTTTCTTCTTTGACGGTGGGCCAGCATCCTATATTTATACAAATAGTTTAACTGCGAATCCCGAAGCAGAAGACCCAAAATTACTCTATGAAATCTGTGGTGCTATCTGAGTCAGCCTGTAGTCCGCTATGCCGTCCTATTCTAAGTTCACTCAAGATCGCTGTGCGGCCATGAACGAACTGCACTATTTATGAAGACTTGCGGCGGTTTTTAGTGGAATATCATATTAAAATTTTCTAGTGTTTATCCCATACACTGAGGCAAGCGATTATCTGTACTCTAAGGGATATTTTTTCAGTACTTTCTCCAGAATAATAACTTATAAGTTTCAGTTCAGTTCAGTTTTTCATTAATGCCGCTTTTGATGTATAGGAATTTACTAGGCCCATTAATTGCTCTCTCCTCAACGATTCACCTTAGAAAATATTTGACATTTCTTGCCTCTAAGCGTATGCTTTAGGGGCTAAAAGTAATGTCCATGCAGAAAAATTGCGAACGTTATTGAACTACTATATGCGGACGATCTATGTACATAGCTATGGTCTGATGGTAGTCATTGTACTAGTGTTAGTAAATAATAGCAACCTATACTTAGGAATGGTTGAAATGGTCAAATTCGAATTCATGAAGACGAAGTATGACAAGATTTTTGGTGTATTGTACCATAACGGTTTAAGCTACAATCAGAGATATTTTGGATAGACTTTGTGAAGCCTTTATATTTATTTATCATATTGAGAATATATAAACGATTTGAATTACAAGTGGCATTGCAGCTACATTACTCCCCATGTAATTTTTTTTTGTGCGCGTAAAATGAAGCTATATTTCCTATACCCTATTGAAAAATATGAATTTAAGCTCAACTGTCGACTAATATTTATTTAAATTTGTTACTTATCCCAATAGATTGACATGAATCGCTTAAATAAATTCAACTGCAATAACGGCACAGTTTGCAATAACATTCGTGGCGTCTTCAATTGTTCGAATGGTAAGTGTGAACACCTATAAGTATATACATAAGTATCAAATGAAGGATTTTTTTTTCAGTATGACCACCTCAATCGGTCACAGATATCACATATAAGCTTTGGTCCCGATTGGAGTCGGTTAAGACGTTGTCATAGGCTAATCTGAACTTTTACCCCTGTGCGACACGCCTTAACCGACTCCAATCGGTACCAAAATTTATATGTGATATCTTCGACAATAGTAGCATCGACGTAGGGGCTGAGGCTTCCTACATTTATGGACCTCCCTAATATACTACTTATACATACTTACATATGTATATTCTATATTATTCCTTATGTGAAAAAAAAAAATCGTAAACGTCATATTTTCCTTAGGTCATTGCAAAAATATGTCAGAATTCTTTTTGTGTCATCATAAGCCCGATGGTCCAACAATCAACTCAGCCAAGGACAATACAAAACTGAATGGATTTTTCGAATGCCGTGGAGTGCATTGTACGAAAATTAAGAAACCTTTCACTTGCGATCGTTATTGCACCAAAATTACAACGACATCAATAAATGTGCTCCTGATGCTTGTGAGTATTTACATATCTGCCGATTGAAACAAGTCTAAAAAAGATCAATTTATTTAGGGGCGAAAGTTCTTCATTCCGAAATTTTTAGACATACAACACTATGCAGCTGCTTTTATGTTCCTTTTAATAATTAAAGTGGCAAAGAGTTCAGTTGTTCGTCTCCCAACATATTGCTGTCAGAAGCTTCCTGACTAAACTTCCCAAAGGCGGGACCGAAGCGCACATCCCACTATTACTACCCGATAAAATTCAAGCTGCTTTAAGCAAAATTCTCTTGAACTTTACGCTGCAACTAAATATTTAATTACATTTTCAAGGGGCATTTTTATTTTTTTCTAGACCTATCAGTTTTTAATGGACCTATAAGGAGTTTCCCCAAATTATCACAGGTTCGTTTGGGATTAACTGTGACCCTTACTGCTTTGTTTTGGATTTACTGATTGACTTTTTTTTTGTAAAGGCGCATAAAGACCCTACAAACATTCGAACTCGTTTTAGAGTCAAAAAAGAATTCTGTGTTGAAAACCTCTCTATGACCTCTGATCCTTTTTTGAGCTTATTTCCCTTCTTAGAAGGGCACGCGAATACGTGTCCAAGTTAGGAGTCATACTAGAGTCGGAAATGTCACGCTTTTCTGAGTCTCAAAAACAAACATTCTTTATAATTCTGTTTACTTATAAACGTTTACTTCTAAGTGAACTTTGTTACTTTTGTTCAACTCAGAATTTATGACACCAAAAGAGTCCGAAATTAGTCAGTCTGGTTGATTGGTCTCAGAATCATATTTATCATGATAAGTAAGGTAAAACCATTCTCTCAATTCGTCGGCCATGATTTAGTTTTTAACCGACTTCAAAAAAAGGAGCAGGTTATCAATTCGTCGGAATATTTTTTTTTTATGTATGTTACCGCATAACTTTGGACCACGGCGGCCGATTTCGATAATTCTTTTTTCAAAGGCGGTAACTTAAAGGTGGTCCCATACTAATTTTGTCTAGATCCGATAATTGCATCGTGAAGAAATTAACGGTACACTTCAATTTTTATATGACAATTGAAGTCGGTTGTATTTTTTGCTTAAAAATTTCCTTTTTTTAAGTTTTCAAGCATTCTAAAATCATATGGAGCCCTAACCGCCAAAAAAAACGTAAGCGGCATTTTTTTCAAAATTTTCTGTTTGATGCAGAAATGCATCTAGATACCCTAGAAATATTTCTTCATCAAAAAGGAAATTTTGAAAAAAAAATGTCGCTTACGTTATTTTTACGGTTAGAGCTCGATATGAAATTGAGAAAAAAGAATTTGTTCAAAGTTTTTGTCGTATGAGATTGATAATGAAAATGTGTGATGTGAAAATGTGTATTTGTGTTTAAAATTTTAAAATTAAATTGCTTGCAAACATCAAGAATTTTCAAAGTGCCTCTTAGCTGTTCTGTCTTACTCTGTTTTATCATGATATTTATAACGAAACAAAGACTCATTTTAGACTCATAAATTTTAAGCACTCAGAAATTGTTTAAAGGTAAAAAGAAAAATTACCATTTATTTCTTACTCAAAGAAATATTAAAAAAGAAAATTGCCTTAATTTTTGCCTCAAAAATAAAAAGCAAAAATTATCGATAATTCTTACTCGATATATTGGTATATGAACAAGCAATTTTTAAGAAAAAAAACTCACCGCAGTTCATAAAAAAATTTAGGAGTACCGTTAATTTCTTTATGACACAATGATCGGAAATAAAACAAAATAATATATGACCGCTCTTGAGGTGCCACCTTTTCGTTATTAAATGAAAAATCGATTAAAAGAAAGAAAAAAAAATATTCCGGTGAATTAATTCCTTCTTTTTTTTTTGAAGTCGGCTAAAACATTTTTGGCCTTATTCATAAAAAATTAAGTGGGTTTAAGGAGCTTTATAAAATGACGTTTTCATACATTTTTCAGGTTATAAACCTTTTTTAAAGCTACTTTATTTTTTATGAATAAGGGCATTTGTCTTAAATTAAGAGATAACGGCAGGGTATCCGCTGGTTTTGATCGCATTCCAAATATTATTTTTTTTTTTTTTCATTGTTAACTCGTATTTATTTTGAAAATTTTGTATTTTCACCATTTTCATATTCCATTATTAAACGTACATATCCAAATATTCGAAAACTTTACACCCTTTTCAGGAAGACAGCGTTATCACAGCCGACTGTGACTCTGGTGTTGCCTTCAATGAGGCACGTGGCAGCGAACATGGCGTAAAAACTGAACCCACCGAGTTTTGGAAGGATGAAGATGGTCAACTACTGACCAATTGTGCTACTGTGAGGCGAGAGGGTGACAAAATTTTGTATGTGGAATATCTAAAGCAATTTTATATTATTGATGGCAAATACTATTTTCCTTGCAGCGCTACAGATTGCCTGAATGGCACCATTTTAGAGCCAGGCACACTGCCACAACCATTCATGAATTTCACACAGTTCTGGAGCATATATGCGAATAGCACACATCCTGTCGATCCCGAACAACGTTTGCTACCCAATCAAGCGAATCTAACCATTTACACATGGAAGAAGTTATATATCAATTTGGAAGGTTGTGTGAATACGCTGCGCGGCGAATGTAAGGATTTCGTGGCACGCTATGGCAACGATGGCGATAACAATACGGCACAGTCACGCTATCAGTGTTACTACAACAAGGTAAGTGCTAGTTAGTTACTTAGTTACCAGTGAAGTTCAAAATAGGCATGGAGAGAGAGAGAGAGAGAGATAATGCGAAAAGAG